CCTGGGCTGCTGCTCCATAGCAGGCCGCTTCTGCAGGGGCACCGGTGGCTCCTGCTGGCCTGGCAGATGTCTCTGGCTTTTGTTTGAGGATCACAGATCAGCGCTGAAAAATTGTAGGCTAGTATTTCTTCGAGAAGGAAAAAAAAAAAAAGTATTAATAACGAGCGTCAGTTCATTTTGTTCTAAAATCAATTTTTCTTGCTGTTGAAAAGCCAAAACTGCATCAGCAGTAAGGAATTCTGAATATACGTGGCTTCTGTAAAATTATACATGGGTCACGATTCATTGAAAGCACAGAAACAGACCCGCCCCCAAGTATTTAGAATGAATACATTCATTCATATATTGAATAGAATAAAATAAATAAACTAAGGCTTTTTCTTTTTTTTAATGAGTGAGCTTAGTTGGGAAACTAGAATTGTGATCTTTATGATGAAGAAGCCCCATCCCCTTGTGTCTTACCTAACAGATTGTGTTAGTAGTCAGTCAAGCTTGCTTTGGCTGTCATAATGACGTGTGGTCTGCTGGATTTCTTAGTGTGCCCAAGTACTGGAAGGAAATACTTAGACATGGATCTACTTCTGTAGGACTTACCTTTTTAGTAGTAGGCTCTTAACAGAGGTATTCAAACTAGCGTCTGTGTAGCAAATAGCGATCCTAACATGTGTTTGCTGATGTTGGAACAGGGCGCAACTATCTTCCCTCACCTTGTGTATCAAATCTGAAACACCATTTCTTGACTTTAATGTTATAGCTAATTGTTTTGTATTACCTCAGTTAAATCTGTAATGATTTTGTTCATCTTTTTGTGTATACATCTTTGATGTTTGTTTCTCACCTCCATTTTAGGATTACGCTAAGGAAAGATATGGAGTGTCATCAATGATACAATCCCAAGAGAAACCAGGTCAGTTAAAAAATGAAAAAAGTTTTTTAAGAAGGGGGGTGAAGAAATTACATACTACATATCTACAGTACTTGCTTGAGAAATCATTTACCAAACTTCTTCATTCAAATCCTGCTGCCATTCTTTCCCTTTATTTGAATATATTTGGCACTTGTGAGGCTGCATTTGGAATGCTGTGTCCAGTTTTGGGCTCTCCAGCACAAGGATGACATTAGCATTTTGGAGCCAGTCCAATGGAGAGCTATCAAACTGCTCAGGGGACTGGAGCACGGGATCTCTGAGGAGAGGCTGAGGGACCTGGGCTTGTTCAGTCTGGAGATGAGGAAGCTGTGGGGTGATTTACTGCTTAAAACTACTTAATGGGAGGGCATAGAGAAGATAAAAGATGAGTCTTGAAGGTCTGCGGTAATTGGACAGGAGGTCATGGACACAAGTAGGAACACAGGAAATTCTGATTAGATAGAAGGAAAAAAAACCTCATGAATGTGGTTGGATAATGGAGCTGGTCCAGAGAGGTTATGGAGTCCCAGTCTTTGTCCTTGCCTAGACCATCCCTGGAAACATTCAAGGCCAGGTTGGACGGGGCTCTGAGCAGCCTGATCTAGTTAGCGGTGTCCCTGCTCCTGCAGGGGGGTTGGACTAGATGACCTCTAGGGGTCCCTTCCAACCCAAAATATTCTATGATTCTATGCCTTACACAGCTTGTCAGTTTTCGTCTCTGCAGGCTGCAGACTTTTTTTTTTTTTTTTTTTTAAATTACCTAAAATTTGCTGAGTCCTGAGATACCAAGTTTTTTCTTTGCTCAGAGTAAGTTCTGCTATGGCTTGCTGCAACAGCACTCCCTCTCTGAGTAGGATATCTGTCTGCTTATGCAGCCTTCATTACTCCTGCATATGAGCACCAAATCCATTAATATTATATATTAATATTTATGGGTTTTATCATTATTCACACCACTGTGAATTTAGGAAATGCTCATTTCATACTGTTGGGGAATTGGGATTCAGAAAGACTTGTCAGCTAGAGAACAATCTTCCAGACCAACATCCCAAGAAATACTAATCTTCATATTATTCGGTGCATGAAACAGGAACGAGGGAAGGAAATAGACTGGCTTCTTCTAACTTCTTCGTAGAAAAATGTAAAAAAGGAATATCATCTGTGATTAGCTGATTTTTGTCTCCTCTGAATGGTTGTTCTGGTTGACCTCCCTTAGGAAGGGAAATGCAGAATGAGGGGAAGAGGAGGAACCACAAAAGCAATCACAGATTAAAACCAGCTGAAGGGGAACATTATGTCAAGAACATAACAGGACAAGGAAATCACTAGAGGCTGTATTAACAGTCATTATTGAAGAAAATACATACTAGCTGTCAAATAAAGGGAACTAAAGTTGAAATCACATTATAAACCAGCCCAAGTGCTGGTTGCTGTGGTCTCCTTCTTCCTGATGCTGGGTCTTCTGCTGATCCATTTCAACACGCTGATAATAACAACCTGTTTAGCCAGGTTAGCAAAGTGAAAGTAGTTGGCTAGAGATCTGATGACTGCTGGAAGGGGCAGGAACACAGCCATCCATATTTATGTGTAACCATGTAACAACCCATAAATTGGTGTGCAGTTGCAACCTAAAAGGTATAATGTTAAGAACAGGCTTGGGGGAGAGTGGCTGGAAAGCTGCCTGGCAGAAAAGGACCTGGGGGTGCTGTTTGACAGCTGGCTGAATATGAGCCAGCAGTGTGCCCAGGTGGCCAAGAAGGCCAACAGCATCCTGGCTTGTATCAGGAATAGTGTGGCCAGCAGAATTAGGGAATTGATTGTCCCCCTGTACTCGGCACTGGTGAGGCTGCCCCTCGAATACTGTGTTCAGTTTTGGGCCCCTCACTATATGAAAGACATTGTGTTGCTGGAACATGTCCAGAGGAGAGCAACAGAGCTGGTGAGGGGTCTGGAGCATAAGTCTTACGAGGAACGGCTGAAGGAAGTGGAGGTTTTTTGTCTAGAGAAAAGGAGGCTGAGGGGAGACCTTACTGCCCTCTACAACTGCCTGACGAGGTTGTTGGTGAGGTGGGTGTCAGTGTCTTCTCCCAGGTAACAAGTGATAGGACAAGAAGAAATGGCCTCAAGTTGTGCCAGGGCAGGTTTAGATTGGACATCAGGAAAAATTTCTTTGTGTTGTCAAGCATTGGAATTGGCTGCCCAGGGAAGTGGTTGAGTCTCTGTCCCTGGAGGTACTTAAAAGACGGGTAGACGAGGTGCTTAGGGATGTGTTTTAGTGGTGGGATGGCAGTGTTAGGTTAACGGTTGGACTTGATGATCTTAAAGGTAACTTCTCCAAGCTAGCATCTGACTGGTTAAGGTGCACTGCTGACTGTAGATTGAAAGATAGCCCTGTTGGATCTCTTCTCTCTGTGCTCTTCTGTGGTGGCATTTGGCTTACTAGAGTTTCTGCAGGCTGTGTTTCCCCTGCCAGTGTCACACCCCGTAGCAAACAACTGTTTGCTACCCAAGCTGGCAGACTGAGATGGTGGATCAAATCCTGCTCTCATGGAGAAAGTCTACCCCGCCAACTGTCTCTTATTCAAAAGAAACACTCAAAAATACTGTGGAGAAAAAAAATACATTGAGAAGGAAAATGGCGAAAGCTACAGGAAATATGAAAAAGGCTGAGTGCTTTATTGGGATCTGTAGTCCCGCCTCGTTTTAAAAAAAAAAAAAGTCTCAGCCAGTGTATGGACAAGATTGAGTAGGGTTTCCATTGGGCTTAAAATACAACCTACAACAGTCCTGCTGTTCCAGTTTTTAGAAGATGATCATTCAGAACACCAAAATTAGAATCATAGAATTGTTTAGCTTGGAAAGACCTTTAAGATCATCAAGTCCAACCATTAACCTAACACTGCCATCCCACCACTAAACCATGTCCCTAAGCAATTTGGTAACAATAAAAACTAAAATGCTAATAGTAAAAAAGTTCAAGATCAGCCTAGTCCTTTCCTTGAGACTAATGCCCTCTTATTTAAAGATTTGGTAGTTCCTGCCAGGGAGAGCTCTTATCAAAGGACTCACGGCAGGGTGAAGTCGTCACTCAGCATCAGTAGCATATATATGCTTTTCCCCAAAGTACTCTGCTTGCATTGAGTGTCTTGGAGGGACTGTTGCTTGGGGCAGGGGGTGGCGGGGAAGCACAAATGCATGTGTTCCCATCTGTCTGTATGGTATTAATTTTGCTTGGTTTTGAAGTCTGTTTGGGTACATGCCATTTCTAAGTCAGAATAACGAATTGTGGCATGGCCTGTGCAGATCCACGTACCGTCTGGCAACTGGAGCCAACAGACAATAGAGACAGCACAGAGGTGGGCAGGAGCTCAGCTGGATGTCTGCAGCACTGTTGCTTTTAGGTTTGCTATAGTAGCTGTACTGTCCTGAAGACACTGGCTGGTTGTGGGAAGTTAAAAAGCTTAGGAGTGATCAGAGCAAATTATTCTCCCTTTCCAAGGGATAGGCTTATTGTCCTTTTGCCATACTCACAGATTCTTATTCCTCTGCAGGCAAATTAAAACTCTTTTCACATGTTCACAAAGTCGTTGCAGAGATGCTCCACCCTGCTCTACTGATCTCACACACACCTGTGCCTTCATTCTTGGCCCACTTCAGTCTTTCTCCTGTTAATGTTGGCTGCCTTGGCTATCTGATGTTCTCACTTCCTGTTACATCATGTCTTTAAGTCCTTGCTTGCTTGAGGCTATGATTGCTAGTAAAGCTCCATTTGCCTTTTCCTTTTTCTCCCTTCAGCCCCATTACTTTCATCTCCCCTCCCTGGAAGCTGCTTTCATCTTATATTGCTTTTGGCTTTCAGGTTTTTTTTATTAAACTTATCTTCTCTTTTTCAAATTTATCCAGCATTGTAAAGATGCTGGCACTTCACAGAGACAGCAGAAGTATTGATCATGCTGTTCAGAATTCCATGATGATACGAACTTAGTAAACAGTCTGATGTGACAGGCAGGGAATGGGGGTCTGGGTGTGGAAAAGTGATTTTGTCTTGTATACCCTCATAGCTTTTGGGGGTTTTATCCTCTCCTCCCCTGTTTGGAAGAGGTTAGAGTTCTGAGAGAAAGATAAGGATATTTAATATGTTGCGAAGAAGAGATTGTGCTATACATAAAAGAAACAGAAAAATACAGTTTCCCCTTAGACATGATTCAAAATGGCAATGAAGGTGAGAGAGCGTGAATACTGAATTGAGGCTGGAAGTGTAATTTCAGACTTACAGAGCATTTTGTTTGAACTTCATTTAAAATCTTTGTTCCCTTGTCTTCACTGCAGCTGTAGCATGATTTAAAACATCTTTTATTTTTGCATTATTTAATTGTCTGTAAGTCTTTATGTGGTAAGAAGACAGAAAATGTAAGTATAGTTTGCATTTGTGAAAGAACAAGTAGGTGGTAGACTTCAAAGAGTGTGGTGGGAGGGCCTTAAAGGTGAGATCAAGAAGCTTTGTTTTTATTATGGAAGAGAGAGAAATGAACTGAAAAGAATTCCAGGTGAAATGATACGTGAGAGTACAGAGGGAAGATTTGAGCTACAATATGTTGGTTGGACAAGAGAAAATGAGTGACAAAGGCAAACAGTTGCTTACACTAACAAATGTAGACATTATCATGAACTACTGGCATTTTAGAAATGAGAGGAAAAGAAGACGAGATTTGGGAAGTGTTGATGGAGGGAAACAGCGTGTCATAACATTTGCAGTATCTGGCTCTTTTCAGTGGAGCACATTGACAGGACCAGAGGCAACGGGCACAAACTAGAACACAAGAGGTTCCTTCTGAGTATCAGGAAACACTTTTTTACTGTGAGGGTGACTGAGCTCTGGCACAGGTTGCCCAGGGAGATTGTGGAGTCTCCTTCCATGGAGATATTAAAAAACTGTCAGAATGCAATCTTGGACAACTGATCCTAGATGGCTCTGCTTGAGCAGGGGGATGGACCAAATGTCCTCCAGAGGTCCCTTCCAACTTCAGCCATGCTGTGATTCTGTCATCTGCTGTTGGAAAAAAAATTAACTTTATGATGTCTCTTTTTGGATATTGTTTTATTTCCCTTTTTAAGAAAGGTGAGATAGTTTTTAATAATTCATGCCATATAAAAATTTTTGTTAAAGGTGTTTTGTTTAGTCTTGATGAAACATGAATCATTATGTATCCAAAAAACTTTTAAAAATATTTATTTAATGCAGACGGTTCCTGAAACACTAAGGATCCATAAAAAAAGTGTAACACCTCATTCTTTCTTTATGCTTGTGTCTGGAAAATGGTTTTAAGTTGACTGAGGTAATTTTAACTGTCTGAATATCAAACTCTTAGAAATACTAAAGCTTGTGGGTTGTGCTGGTTGCATGTTTCCTATAGTACTATACTGATGAAGTTTGAACATCAGAAGTTGCTGGCAAGTGATAACATCTTAATTCTCTCCCCCAGTGCAAGTGCGCATGCACACACACATTATTAATACATTTTAATCAATTTCCTATTCTACTTTGTCCACTTTCATTCTGTTCTGGTTTTGATGTTTGTCTGTGAAGCAACAAACTAACTTGCCCTGAGTATAAGCTAATAAACATTTTCAACCCCCTAAAATTTCCAGTGGTGAATAATAGGCTTGCTGGGCAAGCTGTGACTGTTATTCAAAGGCAGAAGGAAGTTGTCCAGAACGGCAGATGGTAACCTGGGGTAGGCAAACCTTGGAAAAGTTCTGGCGGGAAAAGTCTACAGTGGAAGTGTCTTAGTAAATTTAGTGTTATTTGGAAACAAGGATGAAAGGCAGAGAGAGTGAATTTGTGTTACGTATCATAAAACAGAATCATAGAATATCTTGAGTTGGAAGATACCCGTAAGAATCAATATATCCCTTGAAGATTTTTTTTTTTTCCTAATTGGTGTTTTTAACCACATATGAACTGTAAATGAGTAAGAGTAGCTGTTAGAACTGTTGAGGTTCTATGTAATGCTGTGTATATCCTCTAACTGATTTGTAGATTGCTGTAAGAAAGCAGTGTTTGAGACCATGCAAAAATACATTTGGCCAAAAATCTATGGAAAAATACGATTAAACAAGGACATTTCAAGGAGTAGGGGCATGCGGCCAGCATATTGGCAGTTCATAATGGTTGCATACGATTTTTACAGTCCTGATTTATTTAAAAATACTGTCCTTGGTAATTTTTTATTTTTTCCTTTACTATCCAAAATCTGTCCTTTACAAACTGTGCATTCCTATTCATTCCTATTGTTATTTAGCTTTCTTGGGCACACAGAATTTTAAGAGTTCTTTCTGATGAATCCTGGCTGCTACAGTAATAGTAGTGCTTGATCAGGTTGTCAGAGATTTTCTTTTAAAATAAATTTTACTGGTTTTACACAGTAATACTCTTGTTTCTCAAAAATGCTATTGTTTTTGTCAAAATAAATATTATTTTAATTTCTAATGGACATCTATTTGTGGTTTCTTTTTCCTCTTTATTTTAAATAATAATTATTTTATGGTGATATTCACCTGAGTTACGTAGATACAGGGAATAGTTGTGTCACCTGCGAGCCTCTGTTTTGCTGTGTTCAATGTACCAACTTTCATGTCGCACAGTTAGGCAGGGCAGACATCCCTTAGCTACCAGAAATGCAGACTAATAAATGCAGGTAGCACAGTGCAGCACAGTGAAGTCTTATCAAAAATAGTGTAGTCATGCTGGGTTCTGCCATCCGTGAACTACAGTAAGTCTTGCTTTTGTTTTAGTGCATTTTGACCCTGCTATATAAGTCAAACAATAAGGTTGAACCAATTTAAAACTACTTGATCAAGTACAGTTCACTGAGAAAGGAAATGGGATCTTGTGTGTTTTCAGTATACCTATTATGCTGTAGATACAAAAAATAATGTTTTATTATAAATATTAGCAATGATAGAAAATGTATTTGGGGTTTAAAGTGAAAAATGTTTTGCATCAGAAAAAACAAAACCATTTTAAAATGTGGGTTTTTTTCTATAATTCAGATAGAGTTTTGATTCGAATAAAAGACTTGACGGAGGAGAAGGCTGATGAAGTGGTTTGGGTTCGTGGGAGAATTCATACAAGCAGAGCTAAAGGTGAGATGCCCAATTTTTTTTTTTGAAATTATATATTATTAATTTATATTTATTATAGCTTCAATGTTTATTTTGTCTTCATGACCTGTTATGTCTTGCAATAAGAAAACTTTGCCACCTTGTTACTCAGTGTTCACTTTGACTGTTTATTTTCCCTTTTTTCCACCTTTCTTTTCCCAAGAGGGGAAAAGGAAATTTTGTTTGCAGCTGAGTGGAAATCGGGTATTACTATTGCATTGTAGTAAAAGTGAATTTTGGTTTTATCATATTACTAAATGATGCGTGGACAACTGTAAATGATAGGAACTTTAAAATAATACAGTCATTTTCCTTTGGGTGTTAACAGTTGTAAGATAAAATAGTTATAAGCTTCTACTGTAAAACATACTTCTGTTATAAATGTATCAGTTGTCAGACAGGCCATAATTATCTGCTGAATATTTTCACGATACCTTTTCTTCGACAGGAATCAAAAATCTGTGTTAAAATTTCAGAATTTTTACTTTCAGTTACCAATATCTGATTATAACGATTTGAACTTAAAATAAGGAACATCAGCTTTAACAAGACAAAGGGAAAATCCTTTTATAGGTTCTCAGTAGTGTGGACTGTCATACTTGGCTGTCTGACAGCCATATTTCTTCCCTGGAATCAGAAGTTCTCTCTGGAGATCGGTTTGCCATATGGAAACTTAAATAGGCTTTGGCCTTTTCAGTTGACATCAGATGCTGACAACTGTTGTACTGATTTCAGTTATGTTTGGCAGCTATGTAGTGAGATATAAATACCTTGTCTTCCCAAGAGTTGGAAGAAAAGACTGTAAAGAAATTATCTTCACGAATGAAACGTAATGGTAGTCTTAGAATTGGGAGTAATGCAAATTAGGGGTGAGAATCTAGTACAGAATATCATCACAAATGCCAGATTAATTTCTCTTTTTGAGGCTTCATTTTCTTAAAAAAATGTCCCTCTTAATGAGTGTCTGTACTGCAGTCAGTTAAAATAAGGAACTGCATGTAAATATATACATATAATGCACATTTTAATTTGTATTAGAATCTTTAAATTTGGGGAGTCCTCTGTGATTTCCTCAGTAGTTCTATAGTGTGGTCTTACATGGAAGTCTCTCTTTGCTATGTATAGAAATTGTCAAGCCCAAAAGCTGTGAAAGCCGTGGTCATTAATCAATTTGAAGTTGTTCAGACAGGAGACACTATCTAATTTAAATGTTACTATCAGTATACAAATAGGAGTATCCTTATGGTTTTTTCTTTTGTAATTGTAGGAAGAGTTCAGACTATTAACAGAATTTAGTATATTAAGGGCAGGTATCTCTGCAGACCTTTAAAACAACATAAAGTTCAATGGTGGTTTATTACTGGCTCTGTATTGCGTCTGTATATGATGCATGATATGCAAGACTATGCATTTACTGCAATCAGAGTAACACACATGTAACATGGCAATATTAACGTACAAGAAGCTGTTTGTCATCTTTCACCTTTGACCTCAGGGAAGACTATTGTTTTCCATGAAATAACAGTGCTTATTTTCAAAACTCTTCAACACTCTGAAGAATGAAAGCAAAAGGAGTTGATTATGGGCATGAAGTGTTCTCAGCTTATTGATTGTGCTTCTTGTTCCCTCTTGGTCTGACAACACAGAACAATTCTGACATTCAGGGAATGCTGCTAGGGCATGCCATATGTTTGTTTACTTAAGCTTTGGGGGGAAGAATCTTGCAAGAAAAGCAAATGTTTAAGAGCAAAAAGTAATATTAGCCTTTTCCACACACATCGTGGTGCTATTCCTACCATTATGGAAAGTCTTGCAGGAAACAGGAAAATCTTACACAAAAATAGCTTTAGTTTTTCTCAGAAGCTCAAATTTGACTCCTAAATAACCAACATATCCTTTCTAGTTCTGGCCAATAAACCAAGAAAAATGAATGCGAACAACTGCAGAATCCAGCTGTCTTGTACAGCAAGCCACTCATGAAGACTGATGGAAATTAACTGAAGCATGTGTAAAGAATGGGGTGTTGGGATATTCTGTGGATCGTACTAAAACTAAAGTGCTTGGGGCCCTGTGTTTTTTATCATAGATTGAATAAATGTTATTTCTGGCCTTATTTTAAAGCCAGCCTAAGCTACTGATCACATTTATCATCAAAAAGCAGTTGGGAAATCAGTCTGGGTTCTGCCAAGCAGCCGGGACTTGAGCAGTATGTTAGACCTAAACTTGTTTTTTGTTTATGAATGCAAAAGTTTATGAAATGTCAAAATAGTATGTCTGAAAATAAGAGTACCACTAAGAGTAATTTAAATGCTGGACCAAATTTTATAATAAACCATATAAAGTTTTCTCTTTACTGTCAGGTGTCTGTAACTAGCAATGTATTAATTTATACAGCCAAACATTTTTTGCTCGTTGTACAAATTCCTTCCTTACATCCTTTTCTCTCATAAGGTCTTGTGTCATTTGGTACTTACATCCAAGAAAGGAAATGGATTGCTGTTTGGTTTTATGTGCTTTTGACAGGGTTCTGTGTGTGATATCTTCTCTTATCTGTTCAGTGGCTAAAAGTTCCTTGCGTTAGACTGAGTCAGACCTTTTGAACCAAATTTCTTTTGACATTTTTCTTTTTAGGCATTCTTATGGGGCACAGTATTGGTTTGTTTTATAGAAACTTAGAGTAGTTTACTGTTGAATGTGAGTAAAGTTTTCTCATACTTTTCACTTAAATACCATGTAAATATTTTGATACACATAGAGAGCATCCCATAATCCCATTTTTTTTCTCACTGATGCTTCCTTTTTTCTGTCTCTTGATCTGGAAAAGCAACTAATCATGAACTAGATTTGATTATGGCTTGTCTTTTTGATACTTTATTTTGCAAGCCTTTGGCTCTTTTGGGAAAAGTTCTGTTTCCTCCTACAGTCTTTGTAACTGTGATATTTTAACTATTCCTATCAGTGAGGTTTGTTTGATCACTTATCTTGATTAGAAATGGTTATCTTCTACAACACATCCTCTTTCCTCATGAAAACAACTGCTGTTACTCATGACAAAAAGATTTGAGTCCTTTTATAATGCAGATATTGATCAGACTTCCAGTGTTTGGTATTAAGTACAACTGCCAAACTTTTGCTTCTGATTACTATGATATCAGGTCCCTCCATTGATTTCACCATCTTCTCCCTTAACTATTTACTAATTGACATTGTAGCTGTCTTCAGCTCTGTATTTTTTGTTTGAACACCTTTGTTTGAATATATCATTGCTGAAACCTTGATCATATTTTTCTAAATTATTTGTGACTGAAACCACAGAGACAAATACTGTTTTCTAGGAAATACTGTATCAAACCACACTGTAAGTAAGAAATATTGGGATGTCAAAGATGTGAGATACGCCTAGCTTATGCAAAGAAACTTAGCATATTATGTCCTGTGGAAAATTGTACTTTGTTTGTTGACTTGCTGGATCTGAAACACAGGCATGTGTACTACTGAAGGCTCTATTTCATTTCTGAAGCCTGTACTTTTCTAATTTAAATCTGTGGCTTAATATTTGCCTGCAAGAAATACATACATCCATACCATATTAGTTTCTTTACTTAGATATTGCAGCCTCTGGAATACGGAAATAGTTATACTCTATTTTCTGAAAATACGGAATTAATTTTGTTGCATTTCTGAAATCACAATCATAGGACAAGGTTAATTATGTCCAATAATTACAATGTTAATTTTTAATAATATTTTGTACTAGTGTTATGTGTTTGCTTTTATTTTCATCAGATTTTATGTCAAATATTCTGCATTTATTTTCTGATTCTGTTTAAATCATCTGCAGCTATATGGCAGGAATAGTAATCTACATATAATTACAAATGAAAACTGCAACTGGCTTTTTAGTGTCAGTGTTCAAGTTAGATATATGTTGATTTTAATGTTTTATAGTCTAAGTCAACAATAACTGGGAAATAGCTATCTAACAAAGCTTCTGGCTTCTTGCTATTCTCACCATTTTAATGGAAATGTAATGGTATGAGTCAGAACTTGGAATTAAAATTATATTGATGCATTTTATCAGATAGTGGTACAACAATGAAGTGCTTCTTGTTAATTTTTCTCTCTGAGGAAGAAGCATTTAAAATCACCATATTTCCTTAAATCTAAGTTAAGGAGTAAATGATTATTAGAGATGTGAGGAGAAATACAAAATGATTGTAACTGTCAGCTGAACAGATCAGAAAGAGCTTTGTTGACTTGGAAATACCCATTTTAAAAGTCAACAAAGTGCATTATGTTCTTTGTAAATTATTATTAATTCCCATTAACTTCTTTTTCCCTACGCTGTTCATGAATAAATTACTCTTACAGGAATTTTTACTTGGGTCTTTTAGGTTCTTGTCATTCACCAGAATCAATACTCCTTTTGTTCCCCTTCATTCTGAATGTGTGGTGTATTATAGAATGAATGTTGCTGGTTTGGTTTAGTCCCTGTGGTGCAAAATCAAGCCTATTTCTCTCAGAGCAGCTCTGTAAAGTGAACTCTACAGCTTTAATTTGAGAAGATGAGAAAAAACTTCTTTTAAAATAATGTAGATTTGAAGTAGTTGTGAGCAGAGCATCAAGGAAAAGTATAATTTACTTCTTGCAGTGGAAGAACAATAGATACTTTAAAAGTTACGGTTTCTAGTTTTTGTTTTGTCTAGGTATTATTTGTATCGGAAGGCTTAGTGTTATTTTTAGAAAATGTCCATTCACATGTCTATAGATGTAAGGCAGATTTATTTGACTTACCTCAGTGTTTGGGGGGGTGGCGTGTGTGTACATGCAGAGCTGACTAGTTTGATGTAGCTATTTGGGGAGGGGCAGCGGCGAAGGAGAGAGAGACACCCACGCACACCCCTTAAAAGCTCAGCTTAATATTAAAGTAGTAAAGCATTTTTTCTCATTCACAAAGACCTCAAGTAACTTGTCCTTAATACACCTGTGTTGTTTTTCTTTGTATTCAGGGAAGCAGTGTTTCTTAGTCCTGCGTCAGCAGCAGTTTAATATCCAGGCTCTCGTGGCTGTGGGACAGCATGCAAGCAAGCAGATGGTAAAGTTTGCTGCCAAGTAAGTAAGCAATTATATCCTGTTGTCAGAGTAAACAATGGTGGGAACCAGGACTCCCAGGGGTTGGGACCATTTTCACACATTAACATCAATGCTTCGTTTGTTTTAAAATGTAGTTATTTAAATTGTCAGCTCACTATTGCGTTGAATACATTACACTGACAAAAGATAAAATAGAGAACAGGCTTGAAATTCATTCTGAACTGCTGAAGCAGCATTCTCTCGCCATAGACAACCTACATTTACTTTCAAGCTGGCTAACAAAAAGTCTGGCAAGCTGAGCTTAGTGGGACACTTCATTTTGTGCATGGTGTTTGTATGTGTCTGCACATGTTCAGAGTTTTTCTACAAGAAGTGCAGTGTAGGAATACATTTTATAGGTAGAACTGATGTGAAGTTCTATATTGCAAGTGGCTTACTCCATTGAAGAAATTGAGTAGCTTCTGTGCACTGAATTAATCTTATTTACACCTTATTTTTGGCACTAGATTGTTTAATGAGGGATTTAATTTACTTTTTAAAATATTTGGGTGGGGGCAATAGTTAGACTTGCCAATTAAACAAGTGTTTGTTGTGGCAATTTGAATTCAGTTATTTGGTTTGGTTTGTTCTTAAAGATAAAAAATTACCTTCCCCTGCTACTTGCCTCAAGATTGTGCTTTCAGGTTGTCCAGTACTAAATATGTTTGCATGGTAAAGGTATTTTCATTGGAGAGCTTTTAATCATGTATATCTACTTGTTCACAAACAGAAATGTGGATCAATTCGGTGCAATAATATGTTTAACATGTGGCACTTGAGTTGCTTCTGTGTAGTTCTTGGCACCACTCTCCTGCCTGGGAAGGGAGCCCCCACTAATTAGCTGCAAAAGTGCTACAGCCTTCAACCTTCAATATGTCAGGGAGAGGAGGGATTCATTATAGTATAGACTTCCAGAAGCCAAGTTAAGAAGGTTAGGATAATGCTTCTGCTGATGAGGTTCAAGGCAACGGGAGAACAGAACCAGCAGTGTTTGTTGTTTGGCGGTGCTTAGTGTTGGCAGTGCCAGTGGGAAGCATGCTGTTTACAGGTGTTTATGAGCCAAAGTGAAGTGTTCTGTTTCTTCATGAAATAGTTTGTTCTCTCCAGCGCTTAGAATCTTTGAAAAGAATTAAGTGTGTAATCTACTCGTTCCCCAATTCATCTCCCTCTAACCTACCAACAGTCTGCCTGTACTCTCTTGACGAACTTGCACTGCAGAACAGTGAAGCAACTCTTAGAGTCGTGACGCTCACTGTCCTATTCTCCAGTTCTCTCCAACATCTCTCTTTTTCAGTTTTCTTCCTGGTTCTTATTCTCCACAACTTAATTTCTTCTGTTGCAGTGCTCGGTGGTTAGGAGTTCATGAGAGGGAAGTTAGTCCTTACTCTTTTCTTCCATGTGCTCACTCTGCCATTTGTAAGCCTTCTGCAACTTTTTTATTCACTGATCTTCTTTTACTTGGTTAGTTTTCTGTCAGGTTACTGATTTAAACTAGGTCATGGAGATCCAGAACTATCAAGGAGTGGTAAATGGTGGAAAAGGGTATTTGGGAAGACTAGAGGGCAAAGCTCCTTTCTCTTCTGGCAGCAGTGAGGTGTTAAATCAGATGGAACCTCATCCTTAGGTTCTTTCCAACTCCCTGTCATCTCCCCACTTAGCTTGATGTGACAGACCTGATTTCCTCTGAGTAGCCAGATTCAAGATGTTTGCACTGTGTTTTGACTTTTCATTCTGCTCCTTTTTGTGATAGCATTTGCTAGCTAAATCCTGATACTTCGGCTTCTCTAATTTATAGTGTGCATGTTTTAGTCCTTATTTGTGCTCCTGAAATGCTTATGTGTGCTTATTATTGTGTTCTTTGAATGATACAACTTTCTCTGCTACAGCCTTCTGGGTTTTATTTTGTGGGCTTGCTTTTGGGTTTTTTTAACACCATTAGTGTAGTCATCTTCTCATGACTCCTTCCCACCAACAAACCTATTTTATTAATATCCTGCCATGCTCTCACATTTTCCAGTATTTTATCTTCTTCTACAGTTTTGTCTGATACCATCGCTGCAGTTGGCTCTTGTCCTTCCAAGGCTGCTGCTGTTCCCTGACTTTAAGTGCAGTTGTGGTCACTGTGTCAGTAACACCTGAAGCACAGCAACAGTGCCTGCCTTGTTTTCAGTCACTTTCCTGCTAGTTTTCACCTGCCGTGGAAGGATGCCATTATTACTAGCAGATGAGGCTGGTCTTAGATGTCTAAAAATAACTATACTGTTTCTCTGTCTTTCTCAGAGTCTTTTTTTTCATCACCTCCTCTTGTTTCCTACACATTAAATGAGGAAATACACATTTATTGAAGAAAACATTTTAATTAAATACATTACATTTCAATTACATAAACTTTTTCACTCATAGTACATAAACTTTATTTTTCATGTGCTATTTTCTCATACTTTGATACTGGGTCCAAATCTTCCTTTAAAATAGTTTGTGAAATTCTGGATCTTGATTTTTTAATGAGAAATGGTTAAATCATGAGCATTTTTTGAACAAATTTTCATAAATAATAAACAACCTAGTTCCTCTTTTAGATATTGGCACATGGAAACCAAGAACTTTCATAACCTTCTGTGGTCTAGCAACATGCATATACTAATTATCTCCATTATCATAAGAATGTGAGTTCTTTTTATGAAAGGTACTTAATGCTGTTTTAATTCAGTTTTACAAAGAAATTTCTATGAATTTTCTGTGAAAAATTATGAAAAGTTTCTAGCTGAACTTTCAAAACACATAGCCAACAACATAGAGGCAAGATAGTGGATTGGCACCTGTGGAGTTGTTCTTATGCCTTTCATCAGAAAGAAAAATTCAGCCAAGTCCTACAAGGGATGCTGAAAGAGTTAATTGTCTCTTTCAGCCAGCAGAGGTGCCAAGTGCTACAACTAGTAATTTATCAACCAGCTTTTTTTCTAAAAAGTTTTGGGTGTGGTTGGTTTTGGTTTTCTTTCCCTTTTTTTTTATATCAGCATTGAGCCTTCCCCCCCTCCTCCTGCTACCATAGCCATGTGCTGTGATATGATATAGCAGTTGGGAGAGGTGGTTAGCAGATTCTAGTTTTGCTGCCCAAACAATGTGCCCTCACTCAGGATGTAGCTTGATGGCTCTTTATAGTAGGCTAGAGAATGAAAATCCAGAAAAGAGACTAAGAATGGAAAGAAAAAAACCCAAGATGGGTAAACCTGTATGAAAATACTTCACAATGTAGAAAATTATACATAAGTTCATCAGCTAGATAAATTGGTAATACCGGGAAAACTGCTGGGTATTGCAGAGATCTTTTTTTTTTTTCTTTTCTGTTTAATTTTTATGTCAGTGATCTGGAAGGAAATGTCAAATAGCAGCTGTTAAGTTTCCTCGTGACACAGGAATTAGAAGGGTAAACTAGGGGCTAGGAGTACATTGTAGCCAGGGTTCCTTTAGAATAATTACTCTGCTGCTCTTCAGTGTGAATTTGTACCTTTGTGATCATTAGTTCATGTGTATGTTCAGGATTAATATGTAGGAAAGTAAGTGATGAGAAATGTGAGATCATGATAGGTAACTGACGTAACAGGAACCCATGCAGTTCTCTTACTACGCTAGGAGATCTCTTGAGTTCTGAAAAAGAGGAATAAAATGCCATTAAATGTAATATATGCCAGTCATTAGACCATTTCTGGAATATTTTTTCCACTTTCATTGTCTTTGTGTCCGAGTATATGTCAAATTGGAAAAGGTTGATGGTGAAGCTGCAAGATGAATTGATATGCAGTGAGGCAAATCTGCTTTCCTGTGATACTAAAGAAAACTCTCTATTCTATCCAAGAGAAATGAGTAAATAATTTAAATCCCAGTCTGATGGTACCTATGCAAGAAAATTTTCTGCTAATGGAGGGTTCTTTACTCTGCAGATACAAAAGTACAACAAGATGCAATGAACAGATGGTGAAGGCTGGTAAATTTGGAAGGGAAATAAAGTGGATTATTTTTTTCAGTGAAATGATTAAAAATGTGTAGTAGTTTTAGTTACTTAAAATCTTTAAAAGAAGACAGGCTTACCCCTGCCCCTACCCCCCCCCCCAAGGTATCCAGGTTCATCTAGGTGTTAGAATGTTGCTATAGGAAACAGATTATTATATTTTTAGAATTAAGAGAATAAGATTAGGTATTTACTTGGCCTTCGTGTATACAATGTCAGTTAACTCCCCTTTCTGAGAGCTTAATAGATACTTACTGTGTTTGTGCAGACAGTATTACAGTTGCTCTTACTGAGTTGAGTATAAAATGTTTATACTTTCAAATATTTACAAAGTGAGCTCATTTTTTCAAAGTAAAGTCTATTGCTTTCAGCTTTCACTGACATTCAGAAAAAGGATCATTGATTATTATGTTTTATGACAATTATTTAATATTTTTAGAGGTAATAATGTATTAATACAATAATTTGTGCAGTCTGCTTACAGAAAAGTGTTGAAGAAAAAACAAGAAAATGTCTGAACAAGTACAGATACTTCCATTAAGTAAAAATTTTCTATTTAAAGTCGATAAGTAACCAAGTTTCTTCCAATTCTTCAGGCTTTTGATCAAGAAAATGTTGATTGTGATTCACTTAGGGAGGCCCACATGGGGTTCAGCTTGCAACATGAAGCTGTTGATGAAAGATGTTGTCATACAGACTGCAATAATGCAATCCTGTGGTTAAAAGAGAAAGTCTTGGCTAACAGACATGCAGATAATTAAGAGGGACATAAGGCATCTAGTGGACATTTTAGTAATTATAGTCTTGCTGTTTTGGAAAGAACATTACATATAAAGAATCAGTTTGCTATACAGAGAAATTTTTTAGCGTTGACTTTATGAATCTATTACTAAAATAGCCTGTCTTGTTTTAATGCATCATGCATCCTAATTTAGTTTCTAGTTCTGTGCAGTATTAATTACAGATAGGAATATTGTTGTTTGTAATGGAAACGATGATAGCTTTGGCATGCTTTGCTGCTGCTAGTTCACATTTTTGTTTGTTTGGGGTTTTTTTGTTACCCAGGGGAATTTTATCAAAAAATCACCTAGATGACATAGTGTTGCTGCTGTGGAGAGCACTTTGCTGTAGTTACTGGCATTTAATTAAAGGATCTTCTTGCTCTAATTTGAACTGAAATTACCATTTCAGTAATATTCTTGGAACTACCTGTTGGGATGAAAGCAGCACCTTCTAGGTTTCTGTTAGTTTACATTTGATGCACTATGTTAGGGACTTCAGATTTTTCCAGCACTAGATCTTGCTGAGCACGGTTCAGACAGAACTCAAAACACGAGTTTTTTCTTCTATACCAGATTAGATATGTAGTCTGAATGAGCAAAAGCACATTTTCTAATTATCAAATGAAAATTCAGAGTAGATGGCGAATGTTTGTAAATACAGATGGTCATATGCAGTAGAAAACTTGGTAGTGCTTTTGTGTGCCCAATTACATGCATATCTGGATCCAGGGATCTACATAGGTAGGAACTGAGTTGAAATATACCTTAAAATTATGGCAAATTTAATGACTAAGAGATGCTATAGTTTAAAAGCGTGTTGGAAACCAAGAAACATACTGTTTTAATTGCAACTCCGGTTTAGAGAGAGAGAGAAAAAAACCACATTTAATCACAAGTGCAAAGTGTTAAGGTTCTGTTATGCAAGTTTGCAAAGCAATACTACAGTTACAATGATGTAAAAGTCAGTTTCTTCCTGTATTTTTAAACTGATACCATTTTGCTTGTCTTGAATTCTGCACATGTTCTGATCAAAGCTCTGTACGCTAACACCAGTTCTCAGCCATGGGATCAGTAATCTGATTATGAATCCATCATACAACACATTTACATTTAACTATTATTTTCTTTTTCACAGTGCAGAGAATTTGCTTCAATAACTTGAAAACATTATTTTTATTCACAATTATTGGCGAGAGGGCTTTTATTCAGCAGATTAGAAACTTATATTTTCAATGAAGACACCGCTGTTCATGTCATCAGTATTTTCTGGGTATTTACCAAAATGCTGACATGGAAAAGGAAGCAGGAAAAATAGAGGAGAACTGTTTAGGGCAAAAAAAAGCTAGCATAAGAGTAAAACTTTTATTCTTTTAAATATTCACTTATTTGAAAAGCAAAGGGAATTTATAGTTACACCTAATACTATTTTAGCATGTTATATTGTCTGTGTTTCTTATCATCACATTCTCTTGCATCCACAGCATTGTATGGCCTCATCGGTCTTTTTAAGGAGTTCTAAACAGAATCATTTTGTAAGAGGGTGTACTTCTAAGGACTTACTATCATTTCTTCTTGTCTGTCTTGAAATTTTTGCCTCTGCTTAAATGGAGATGAATGGAGGCTCACCCTTAGCTAAATTAATTCTGATTTAAAGCCTACTGTCGATTTCTGCTTTGTACAAATTTAGTAATTTTGTTCATTATACTGATTTAAGCAACTCTAGCTCTTTTAAAGTGTAAATGTACCAGAAAAACATACTATTCACAAATTTTATGCACTGTGTGGAGTGACCTTATGGTTAAGCACATCACGCATATGAATCATCATTGTCTGTATAACTTCTAGAGCAGCTGCCAATGAGTTCTATCGCCTGATAATATCACTATCAAAGAAATAGTGTAATCAACTAAAATGCTCAGATTTGGCTTTTTTTAGTTACTTGTAATTTACTTACAGTGCTGCTGTTAGGTTTTGAGGATTTTGATGCTTGAATTTCCCATTGTTACTTTAATGTCATCAGATTTTTCAAAACTTGGATCATTTTTATTCAAAAATTCTGTTGGATAACTTAAATTTGAACTCAGCTTTAATAACGTTAAAAAGTTTGTCCGAGGTTAGACCAAAGATTCATCTAGCTTTTCTTAGGGCTGATATGAGTGGGTCAGGAGTGGTAGAAAGCAGGGCAAGCAAGTCATCATAGTTGGTAACACTTGGTGATTTGTATCTCAGCTGCTTCTGGGTTGCATCACTCAGGCTTTATCAGGGAAGAAAGCTAAATTTCCCTCATCAACTAAAAAGATAAACTTAATTGTTTAGCTGGGTAGATCCTACTTTAAAACTGTGAGAGAGTGACTAATTCCAAACATAGATCTTTCTAAAGAGAAACTTAGTGATCCTGATAAGTTTCTCATGTGGTTTTACTATAGCTGTACAAAAAGACTGTATGGCTAGAATACCTAGGTTTTGTTCACAGCTCTTAGACTGACCTACTCCAGGTGGTGCTGGATAAAGTGATGCAGATGCAAGTGATTAGGACTATAGTTACCAGCAGCAGCAGCTTGTACCTGCTGGTATTCTGTCCTTACCTCCTTTCACTGGGGGTTACTGCTCCTCAGTAACACCTCCTGTGCATATAAATATTTGTCTCACCATCCTCCAACTTCGCTGTATGCGTTTTGTGGGTTGGGTTTTTTGGGGCATGGAGATGAGTCTTACTAAAAAAAAAGCCAACCTTGTAAACTTGAAGATTGTTAATTGCTCTTTGCTTTACCGAGATCAGTAGTGGCCAGCTTGTTCAATGACATCATTGCTCACCTCTTAACGTTTGCAGTTAGGTTGTGGGCCTGCTACTTTCCTGCTTTCTAAGGGCTTATGTGGTCAAGTGATGTACATAAAGTGCATTCCAGTCTTCTCAAGAAGGCCTGAGAAGTGAAAGATAAAGTTAATTATATCTGTTATTTTTCATAAAAAGGAAAGACATATTTTCTGATATTTAGCCTTTTGTAAGCAGACTAGCAGAGATACAGTGAAAATAGATCTCCAGTGGGGGTGAGATTATCTGTAGAAAATTACTGGTTTAAAGACCAGTACCTCAAATACCTAAATGAAAACTGCTCATACAAGTATTTTCTACCTATGACTCTTGAGGCTTTTGTTATTGGTTGGTTATAGCACACACGCTTTATATCATGTTTTTGGAAGACTTTCAAGATGTTACATGGTGTTTTAATGTGTTATTAGTGGCTGTTAGTGGAGAGCAATTAAGATGTCCCCTGTCACAGAGAAATGACTTAAAAGCATCTTGCATCTTTCAGTAACAAGTCATGTAGTTTAAAACAAGCTCAGTCAGTTTTGATTTTCCCCTCCAGATCTAGGACTTCCTTTCAGTTTGTTTTTCTGCTGCTTAAGACACATCTTTCAGATAATTGCATCAGCTGACACATACAAGAGTGTATGTGGTCTAGAAAAAGAACCATGCAGCTTGTCACTTTATGTATACATGCACAAAGAATGAGTGGGCACTGTTTGATTCCAAGTCTTAATTCCCTCCCAAGTCTTCTATCCCAGTTTGCATTTATTGTGGCTGGGAATATTTTGGCGAAGTCCTTCGTTACTCAGTTACTATATATAATAAGTAACTTTACCTAAATCCTTAACTTTGTTTTGTTGTTCCAGCAGTCCGTACAGTACATGAACACCCCAGTGCTGGGCACTGAGTCTGGTGCAGTGTGCAATGAAATTCAGTAAGTCTCCTATGTTATCTTTATTGACAGCATCAACAAAGAGAGCATTGTGGATGTAGAAGGTGTTGTGAGGAAAGCACATCAGAAAATTGGAGGTTGTACTCAGCAAGATGTTGAGCTTCACGTTCAAAGGGTAAATTTTTGAGCAAATAGAGCACTGGTTAGTTGTTTGAGAGTTTATCTGTCTAGGCTATCTAAATAGACTATATAAACTTTGTCAGTAAGAGAAATAAACTGCTTTAAACTACAAATTTCAGTGTATCATATGTAAACATGAAACATTTCTAGGTTTTAAGAGATTTGATTTTTAGAACTTCCTATTTTTATCTGCCATTTGAATTACAGTACCAAGTAAAATAATATATCTCACTAGAATAATTTGGCTAGGAATGCTTGTAATTCTAATTTTTTATTCTTAACTGCATCAGATACTGTAAAAAAAGTCTGCTTCTTTTTAAGTGCAAGTCAGAAGTTTCTTCTTTATCAGAAACTTCCAATCTTCCCCTTAGTACAATGGAATGGAATACATAATTCTCAGCAAAAGTAAAGCACTGGCTTAAGAGTATGGAAACTCTTGAAATCTAAAATTCCTGTAGCTTGTGCTGTAGGGCTAGAGGAAGTGCAACTTAATAATTTGTTTAAATAGAAAGCATATTTAAACCTTTATGTAATATCCTTTCCTTCTAAAGGTTTTCAACCAAACTGTATGCCTACAATACAGCTGAAACACAGCCACCTCAAGAGTAGAGTACAATGGCTATTCTAGTTATAGCAATAAGGTAAATTTTAGCTAGCAGCATTGGGCAAAATCTGCAGATTTTGAAGAAACGTTTCTGAAAGAATATCAAATTCACTGCACCTAGACTGCACTACAGATTAGACTGTAAGGCGAGGCAAGGTGTTTTTCATTCTCTGATTGTATTTTAGGTGTATCATAAATTTTCAATCTGAAATGGCTCTTTCAGATACAGTCAGATGATAAGTAAAATCATACATTAAAAACAAGAACAACTGGATGATCTTGCCAGAATCAGAACCTAAAACTCTGTGAAATCTAATAGTTTCAGACCTGGCATTCATGCCAATAGGCTTGTCCCTCAGGCAGTGTGTACTTGCTTAACTCAGTTCTTCACAGAAGGAAAAAAAGATGTTTTTAATCTTTCAAAGGGAAAATAAGAACTAAGTTCTTCCAGTATTGTCATGAGAATGCACCCGTGTAACTCAAGTATTTGAATAAAATCACAGTCTTATAGCTAACAGCCTATGCAAACAGTTTCAAGTCTATGCCAGAAATACCTTTTTGTAAATCACACCTCCTTTTGGGCTCAGTCTCATGCTATTTCTGTTTCTGTCTCAATTTCAGATCTATGTGATCAGTTTAGCTGAACCCCGACTGCCCTTACAGCTGGATGATGCTGTTCGGCCAGAAGTGGAAGGAGAGGAGGTGAAAACTTTGCATCCTCAAATACTTTTTACTGTCTTTGTAATTGAACAGAAGCATGAAAACCAGGCAACTTCCTTAATGCAGTGATTTTGGGGGGTTTGTTGGGCATGTGTTTTACTTCCTTTATGTTATCCAGAGCTGTGTTAGAAATCTCTGTAGCTTTTATGTCTGCTGAACTGCAGTAGAAGGTCAAAACCAGAGGGTTTGCAGTTTTGCATGTGTGTCTTCCAGATTGTCATAGTTGGGTTCTGCCTGTGACAGCTGGGAGAAGTTATACCTTGAGCTTTGCTAAGCTGCCAATTTGCTGTATGTTCTTTCTAGAATGCTCTATAAATTCTACTGAACTTAGCAGTAGTCTTTGGCTTTTAGCCAAAGGATGTTTTTCTCCATTGATTTTGTTTTGTTGGTTTTTTTGGTTGGTGGTTTTTGGGGTTTTTTTAGGTGTATGTATTTATTATGTATTTTTGCACAACTGTTTAGGATGGAAGAGCTACTGTAAACCAAGATACAAGACTGGACAACAGAGTCATTGATCTGAGGGTAAGGAACGTGCTGTGTTGCATGCTTGCCTGCATGTGTTTATTCTTCACATTTCTAATCCATGAAGCAATAAAAGTCGTGGATTTGATAGTATTGTTGGCCAGAGAAAAACTAAACAATGTATTTTTCTATTTGTGAATGGCATTGTGAAAACACAGGGGGTTTTAATCCTAAATGTTCACCTTTCCTGATACTAATCAAAGAATATGTATTAGTAGTTTAAAGGTGAACTTTTAAGGTTTGGCATGTGGCCATGTACATCTGGGCTTTTTTATTTACAAAAGTCAAAGATGACTGAATAGGGACAATTTAGAGACAACATTTCTTCTGAAATGTAGTCTTTGATACCCAAAAACTGTAGTAAGAGCTCCATTTTGAAGTGTAGGGCGGAAGTTTTGAATTTAGTGTGTAATTGAGGTGCTGTAATGCATATCTTGCAAGTGAAATTGTACCAGGCCATGGTGCAAATCTCATTCTCTTTGTTTCTTCCGTAGCATTCGTATCTCTCTTTGTTTTCTGAAACACCTTTCTTCATCCAGGTCATAGAGACATAGCCTTCTGTGAATTCATATACCTCCCAAATAGTTACTCTTTCTGATCAGCAGCAAAAAACGATCTACTAAATCTCTTACAGAACTTTTCTTCTTTTTTAATGAGACAGTAACTAACACTAAACATGTAAGTAACTAATTGTTCATATTGACGTGAGGCTTTCTGGTCTTTTCCTGTATTTGGCTCTCCACAATAAAATTTTAATGAACTTCTCATTGAATGAAGAGTGTGCTTAGCTCATTTTTATGGTGTATCTAGTACTGCCTTCAAAGTTCTGATAATGGCAGTTTCTCAGTAAATCAATCTATGGACCTGGGAAATAAAACAAAAAAGTAATTTATTGGAAAATTTGGAAAAGTTCTGGCACTGAGATGCTTAAACCATTTGGACATCTGATCTCCATATTTCAGCAACTAAAACTACTTGGGCAAATTGTTTTACTTGGACCAAAGTTAATTGCTTTTCACTTGACTTTATGTACAATACTGAGCAACTTCAATTTGTGACTACTTTTCAGGATACTCAGTATGTCGTCATATTGGTCTCTTCATCTGTGTTTTAAATTAAGCCTTTGATGAAAAGAATTCTATACTAATGGTTGAAAGTGAAAATCATTTAAAGATTCATCAGCTTATGGTAGTGGTAAGGCAGCCTATTAAATTGAAGGGAGAACTCTGGGATGCTCAAAGTGCTAGTTTACTTGAAATTCTGGTCATGAAGAAAAATACTCAACAGGACTCCAGAGAAACTCAAGAAAATCCATTCAATTAATGAAATACTTTTATAATAAACCAGGAAGAGCCATGAACCCCAAAGAGAACAGAAAAACAATACAAAGGAAATAGCAGTTACAAATACTAGCTGAAAATAATGGCATTAAAGTGTCCTTGTCTGTAATTCGGATGAGGGCACCTGCAGAGTAAAACCTAAGACGGTGTATAGTAATGGAAAAAGAAGGAAGACTGTAATGCCAGAATAAATTCAAAAGATGGAACAGAAAGGGGTGGGCTAAAATTATTCTGTCCCCGTACACATTCAGGAGTCCAGCAGGACTCTCCCAATACTTCTTATACATCTCTGCCAGTATAGTAATGGAACATCAGTTGTCGTCAGTATTCTGCCTGGAGGGTACAGCTGGTGAGCTAAGTGGATGCTGCTGTAACCTTTTCTAACTTACATGTCCCAGCCGTTGTTGGTACACCATTCAGCAATGGTTGGCACCTTGTTTTGAGGTCTGAACCCTAACTCTGCCTTCTGCAGAAGCTATTTTTCTCCTTAGCTCCAACAGCTGTCGCGGTGTGGTGCTAAGCAGCTATTTCATGCTAAACAGGAATACAGGGTAACTTGTTATGAAATTGGTGGAAGGATGAAATGTCAAATCTCAGTACTTCAGTGCCTTATGTGTCGTCCTCTGCATGCACCTGTGGCTGGATGTAATCTGGCCACAGCTTTCCCTTGATTAGGCTTAGGTATCTATCTTGCCTTCCTCCTATGTACAGGAAAAGTTTCTGTCTCTGTGTCACATTTCCGTGTGTCTCTTTTGTTGCCCATTTCTTTATTTGTTTCAGAACAAAAGGAGATTATTTTGGAACGGTAGGCTCGTGCCTATTCATAAGTTTGCTTTGTTCGTTCTGCAACAGCTTTGCTTGTGCAAAAGAAGATTCTAAATAATTATGTGTTACTTTGACCTGTTTTTTGTAAAGGAAGAGCTAAATAAGCAGAAAAGGTATTTAATAGAGAAAGGGGAAATCCCAGTGAGGATACATGCGCGCTTATATACGTGCGCATCCTAAGCACTGTATGAAGTGGAATCACAAGAGCAGGGACATGAAGGCAGTTTGTCCTTCCAAAAAAAAAAAAACCAAAACCAACCAAAAGCAGTAATTGATTTTCAGTGATTTGGTTACATAGACTGCAGCTGTAGTACAAATGGCACTTCATAGAGCCCCTGGTGTTTCAAATGTGCTGCGTAAGTAGGCTTGTTCTAAGGAGGATTAGAAGACATGATGCATTAAAAGCTCAGGGGGATAACTGAAACCATTGTTAGCCACTGCTCTCCATACCTCTTCTTTCTAGGAAAACCAGATCATGGGCAGCAGGGAAGAAACATTGACAGAATTGTTCTAACAGAGGTGCTGTGATGATCTGTTTCTACAAGTCTGGGAGGAAGTCCAACCACAGATACATGTACCATCTAGTTCTGGTTTCCTCAGTGCCCCAGTTTTTTAAGGAAGAAGGAGGTCACTGAACACCAAAAAGAGAGATACTATTTTTTGGTGAAAGATTTAACCGCCTAAATGCATAGATCTTGGCTAGACTCAGACTAAAAAAGGTCGTTAGTATGGAATTAAAATTATTTTTGTCCATTTAAGTACAGTCTTTAAAGTAGTTAAGTAGTTTAACTAATTTTAAGTAGTGATTAACCAATGAGTTCATTGGATAGGGCCAAATTGTGATAAAGTGGAGCTGTGAAACTCAGTTATTGCATGAATGAAAGGGACTGGGTTTCCAAAAATGGCATCACTCCATCCAGCTGTGATACATACCAAGGAGAGTTTGATTGTGATGGAATACAAGGAGGATGATTAATAATAAGGAAATTACATTAGTGGGGATGCCGTATGCAAAGTATTTTACAAAGATTGCAAGATTTCCATTCTTGTATACATGTGAAAATAGACTGAGCAGTGCACTGTATTTTTAACAGTCTTGCATTTTGGATGCTGACAAAGATCTTCCAGAGGTGTCTGGTAGTTTTTTTGAGGTTAGGAATGAGAAGTACTTAAATGCCATCATCCCAAGCTATTGCTGTAGTTGTTTAGCGGGAAAATGGTGATTATTTAGGGTGGAGAGGTTTTAAAAATCCTTTCCAAGGAATGATGACTGAGGAAGAATGAATCTGTTGCCTTTCCAAGGAATGATGACTGAGGAAGAATGAATCTGCTGCTGATGGACTAACTCATAAAATACAGATCATATACTTGTGGAATAGAAAAATTGCGGGTTTAGAGACAAGAGAGCTGGTAAGAAGAACGAACAGTACTTGTATAGACCAGATTTTCTTTCACGTAACCACAGGTGACAGTGAGGAAACCACTGTTGACCTAAGTATCTATTTTTCATGATAGCTTAATGAAAGTCAAAAGAGTTGATTCTAGAGATGTTTGATTTACCATTCCTTTATCGGAACAATTAAAAAAGTCAAATTGGAGCACTGATTGTCTTTTTCAGTCTTTACTTTTCTGCTCTTACCAAGTTTAACTGAAGTACTCAGTGATGTGTAGGCTTTCCATGTGTGTAAAAACTCCTACAGAAGCCATATTTCATGAAGATCTGTGGTGGATGAAAAACAACGAAAAGACAACAGGTGAAACTGATTTGGGGGGTTTGCTTCTTTGTACATCTTCCTCTGAATAAAAAATAAATCCAGGTTCTTCAAGTTTTAACAATGGGCCTGACTGATGTCCTTGCTCTGGCTTATTTTTGATGTCTAGCAGGGTTTTTATCTTAACAGTATCTGTCCAAATTTGTCTTAAATTATGCATTTTGCAGTCCTGATGCTATAATTGTGTCTGCTAATGCACAGCTCTTTGAGACCAAAGCATAGTCTTTTTAGGGTCAATACTATCCTGTTTAAACTGCTCAGGATAGAGCATAAACATTAAACTATCTGTAGTAGTTTATGGATGTCAGACTATGTTATATGATAATCCAACTGATCTTAATGCAGTTTTTTTCAAAATACTTGATTACTTCAAGCTTGATTTCATTGTGTTGAATTCAATTTACTCATTGCAAAAGCTGTGTTTTTCCTGACTGAGTTCAAGCTGTAATGAACAAGCAGATGTACAGTTCATTTTAGTGTAGGTAGTGATTTGGTGGTGAAGGCATAACAGTCCCAGTCTTTTAGGCAACAAACTTCGTCTTCTTTTTGTACTATAAGTAATATTGGAATTTGAATAAAAGTTGACTTCAGTCACTTTGGGGTTAAAAAATTGTTATTTAACATAAATCCAAATATAGATTGCATTATTTTCCCTTTTTATTTAGCCTACTTTATATATTTAGTGATTGTTCATGGTGGAAGATAGTTACAGCAGGTGAACAGAAAAGAAAAACTGAGGTGGGAGTGGAACAAATTCTACAGCTGGCGTGAGAGTAAAAAGAAAAGTTCACAACTTTGCATGCCTGTGCCTCAGTTCCACCTTTCTGAGATATGATCACCTAAGGTGTTAACTGGCCTTGATTCTGTTGAAACACATTTATTGGTTTCTGGCAACTTAGGTGGCTGTGATTATTCTAACACTGTAGCTTGTGCTGAACAAAAGGTGATAATTGTTTTCATCATCTTGCTTGTAGTGTTAAAATATGCTCTATTCTGTTATTAATATTTTCCTTTGTGGCATTTAAACAATAAACACACGAGTGAAATTAGAGTGAGGTTATGACTGAAACTTGTATTTCAGCATTGTTAGCTAAATGTTTTTTTCTGCTGTCTGTAACAAAGGTGTGAGTTTTTCTGTAAAATCAACTCTGCAGACCAAGTTAAGACATTAACACTGTTAACTACAACGGTATTTAAGTGGCATAAATTTGTTTCTGATTCTGCTTAACTCTTGAAGGAGTATTTACTGTCTTTGCCATAGTCTCAGATAAGATAGTTTGTCAATATATATGTCGAAGAGTTCATATTAGAGTAAACACTACAGGAAAGGAATACCATGACAAAATCTTTTTTAAGGCAAAAGTAGCAATCGATAATTTTGACAGCTGTCTCTGTCTTTAGTTTGCTGTATTGTACCTAAGTGGGGTAGCTCAAATGGTAACTGTCTTACCTACCATTGTACCAAACAGGGTAATATACATACCAGCATCACAGTTAAAGACAGGACAACAGCTTGAATTATTTTCATGAGATCATTATACCAGTGCAAAGGATGTAATTAAGTCTGAAAAGGTTTGCTCTGAGTGTAGGTAGAGAATCATCTTTAAAATTTTTTGAAAGTTGTAGTGGCACATAACATAAAGAGGTCATCCATTTGACTCCATCATACATTGACAGTTGCAGTTCTTTAGGGGCTTATTCTCAAATGTCTTGTTAGCCTCTTTAATTCTTACAAGGAAACTGCAGGATCACAAATTCTCAACAGTTACCCTTGTTGGCAGCCTCTGAATTAATAGGCACTGAAACTCAGTCACCTTTGGTAGAAGGTTTTCAGCATTCGCTAGGGTTTGGGTTTTTTTCTTCAGACTAAAGCCCAAGAGTGTTAAAGGAACATTTAGTGTAGGTATTTGCTAACCAGATAAGTAGCTTAACTGTGTCACGTACATCAGTCACCTTTGGTAGCAGACTTATCAGATCTAATTTGAGGTACAGAGAATTGCTGCTTGTTCTTTCCTTGGTCTATAGTTAAATAAAATCTTCAGTGTTCAGATCTGTGAATTTGGCTGCTGTCATAAATACTACTACTTTTTAAGTATAATTTATCATTATAGATGGGATTAGGAAGACAGAGCCTTTTCTCTGCATCCTCACTAAAGCCAGGAGGAGTTACTACCTGACTAACTATTGTTGGTGGAGAACTGTGTTAGTGATTGACCGGCTGTGTTTCTGTGCACACTTCTAGGCATCAGACCAAGTAATTGCTTTCAGATTGGGTTTAGCAACCATTTTTCTTTTTCCTAGGACTGTATGACTTAGGACTGCGTTCTTACCTGCTCTGGCACGAAACTGGTGTTGGTTCATCAGAAGGGTAGAGGTGGCATTGTTACTATCCCACTTTAAATAAATGTTACACATTTTGTCTCTTAGCATTTTTAGAAATCTCTCTAGTATACCGAAGACTGTACTGGTAAACCCAAATGTGACTGTTTAAGTTGTCATCTCTTGGAAAAAGTCTTTCAGTTTCGAAGTAGGACATAGTTAAGAAAAAAAAAAAAAGAAAAGCAAAGAAAACATCCCTTTGAATCATCCTGGTGCTTTGATGTAACACTGCCAAATTATGCCCAGAACTCAGGCCAAGTCTTAGTATGTGTCTGATTCTGGGAGACCCGTGTACAAAAGGTGAAAAAGTTTGAGGGTACTTTTGTAACTGTTGCTCAAAACCTCATTTCCTTCATTTTGAAAGTAGTGGGAGTAGCGGCTGTGGTTAATGCTATCAGACAGTGAGAGCTGCGAGCTATTATTTACTAGTCTCAACCACTCACACTCCTGAGGTATTTTATCGGTCAGCTAAGATTGCAAAAAGCTCCAAATTACTACAGATCTGCAGTATTATTACAGTTTTCTCTTGGTTTTTCAGTGAAGTGATGTCTTTATCTTGCAAAGATGATGGATGTAGCTTTATTTCAACGTGCCTACTGACTGACTGTCTAAATTTGGGTGCTTGTATAATTTGTTTTGGTTGGGGGGTTTTTTGTTTTGTGGTTTGGTAGGAGTCATGTGAAAAAACCCACAAGGCTCTTCTTACCCTAACTGAAAAGTTAGGTACCTTTCAGAAAGGAGAAGTAAACAGTGCTATGACGCAGATTGTCGTAAAGAACTGTTCTCTTGTTGTTTGCATGAATTCGTTAGATTTTATATATGCTTATAGGTTGCTAACTGTCACGTCTTAAATGCTGCAAGCACAAAATCAGATATGGGTTCAGTGTTGATGTATTGGCAGTGTTTTCAGCATTCGCTAGGGTTTGGGTTTTTTTCTTCACACTAAAGCCCAAGATCGTTACAGGAACATTTAGTGTAGGCATTTGCTAACCAGATAAGTAGCTTAACTGTGTCACGTACATAAACAAAAAGATGATGATCAATTCAGCTAAATCTACTTTTACTAAATGTGCCTTTGGAGTAAATTTTGAAAAGACAGAAGAACAGCAGTTCATATGATCAGGTGCTATGTGGACTGTTTTAAATGCTAGCAGTTTGACCTTGGCTTTGGGAGCAGTTTTGTACATGGTTAACATGTGGCTGTGTTTTTACATGAAAAACATTGTATTTGGTAGCCTTTAATAGACAAAACCATTTCTACCTTATGTAAGTTATTGAGGGCTTTGCTTTTATCATGCAGTGTATATTACTGCAGCTGTTCTAGTCAGTGTGCTGAAAGCTTTTTAATAGGTTTAGTGGTTTTATTCAATTTTTTACTATAAAACCTTTATTTGCAGAAGCACATCTCATAAATCAGTGATTCTTTAAATGTAGAATTGACCATAGTGCCTCCTTTATAACTGAATATGCCATAAATTGAAATGAGGAGTTTCTCTTGTTTCCTTTGCTGTGGCTTTTTGTGTAATGAACAATTACCGATTTGCACTTTTCTCTGTTTAGGCAAATACAATAATCAAGTGTTCCTAAGAGAAGAGATTCATCCTTCCAGCTGTCCAGAAAAAAAGTAACAGAGTCAGGAAAAACTAACTTAGGATTCATTATTTTATCTTCTTCTTATAGACCTCCACTAGTCAGGCAATCTTCTGCCTTCAGTCTGGTATTTGTCAGCTTTTCCGAGAAACTCTTATTCGCAAGGGATTTGTGGAAATTCAGACTCCCAAAATCATTTCAGGTATTGTATATGTGATCCAGCAGCTACAGGTCTGCTTCTTTTACAGTTGCTCAGCATACCTATCTGCCAAAAAATTAGTAAGTTTTTATTTTAAAAGGATAAAGCTCTATTTCTAATTTAGATGCAACATAGCAAACTTCTTCTAGCAGGTATCTGAGTTGTTCTTTACTTTTCTCCTGACTTTGAATGTTAAAAGAGTGACAAGACAAATATTATATATACCTGATTTCTGCACTTTGCATTTAAAGTTTTAATTTGGTTAAATACAGATGTTTGATCATATGCATTGTTCTTCAAATTAGTGTTCTCAATACTGACCACTGCCAGTTCCATTCACAATATCAAAAAAAAACCCCACTCAAATTTAAAGCCGTTTCCATCATAAAGAAGTTACAACAAACATACAATGATATGATGATGCTACTATATATAATACATCACTTCAGCAGTGAGCATATGCCCGGATAGAAGATGGTAGATCATTTTTCTGAAAGGGTAGCGTAACAGCTTCAGCCCCTCTAAAAGTCTGGAAATGTAGATTTTGCTTCTAGTTCTGCTGTGATCTGCTGTATTGTTTTCAAAAGTACTCAATTTACTGATGGATGTTTTTTCTTCCATCTTACTGGTGTTCGTTGAGGTTTTGTTGATATCGCTAAGACACATGGCATGGAAAATGTAGGGCAGAATATTTGTATTATTCTCACTGTATGTGCATTCATTATATACATACATTTTGCCTACTGAATTTTATACTTCTGTAGTTACATTTTTGAAGACAGCTCTTGACTGAGATAAAAAAGGGCTTTTTAACAAAATACATGCAAGCAACTATTCTTTCAACATGGAAAGTATCATTGAACTGTAAGATTAGATAACTTTTTTCCTACTGAGACGGTTGAAACAGCATGAAGTATTGAAGACTCCAAAGTACCTTATTTATGTAGGACCTTTGAGGAAGTGTACTATTCTTACTGTGCAGTGTACCATTGAAAGCAAGCAAGCAAGCATCCTATTGTTTGAATGAGATCATATTTTGTAAAAATAACTTAAGTTGATGCAATCCTTACTAAACTTCAAATTTAAATGCCATAGCTGTTCCCAGATTTGAGATTTTTAAAGTTACCTGTGTTCAAAGTAAATATTCGCTGAAACCATTTCAGTGGGAATAGTGGTAATGAAAGAAAAGAAACGTTACTCTCGGTGGAATGGTTAGTAAGAGTAATCATTAGTACTTTACCTAGAGTTATCTTAACATGAGAACTTTCAAAGATTATTAACTAACCTTTCACTCTGGCATGCTTTTATTAGCAAGTTAGGCAACCGTAACTCTCATATCATGCGCTGGGAAATGGAAAGGTAAAGTGACTCAGCTGTTAGTTTTGGTAGGTAGTTTGCAGTAAGGGATTCAAATGCATGTGTTCTTGGTTCCCATTCTCTCGAGGTAACCTATGAAAACTGCCTCAAACTGAGAAGAAGCTTTATACCTTTGGCAGATGTCTTCTGGTAAATCTAGTTTTGGCTCTGAGGTATTTATGCCTTTAGTTAGAGAGGATGGTCCTGGCAAAACAGGATATGCACTTTTATCTTGGCCTCTGCAGTTAACCCATGGAAGCCTATGTCACTGATAAAGACTGGTTTCCACAGAAATGTTGGGCTGCAAGTAGATGTGGTGGTACAGGCATGTATTCTCTGCTGTTCTCACTCTAAGGTGAAAGCCAGCTGAGGATAGTAATGTCTTAAAGTACCTCAATTAAATTTGCAGATTTGCAAGACAATGTGTGACAGTCCTGTGCTGGGAAACCTCCCTTAGCCTTAATGGATGCAAATGTATCTTTTTTCCTCTAATATGTTTTGAAAAACAATCTCCTTCTGATCTCTGAATGTAAGACCCATAGTTTATCGTTCTGCCTCTGATTTATTTTCTACATTTTTATTTTAATAATTACTGCAAGCATTTGCTTTTCAGCTGCCAGTGAAGGAGGAGCCAATGTGTTTACTGTATCATACTTCAAAAGCAGTGCCTACCTGGCTCAATCCCCACAGCTATACAAGCAGATGTGTATATGTGCTGACTTTGAAAAGGTTTTTTGCGTTGGGCCAGGTAAGAAAAGCATTGGTTTATCTAAAGCATGAAGTGTGCAGTGATGGCTTTTAGCAGCTGTGGTACAAATAAGATAACACGCATGCTGAAAGCTTTGAATGGTTTCACTTAATACGGTTTCACTCACCAAACACAGATTTCAGTTGGGGTGACTAATGAGAGTAAGGTTGACAGAGAAGTTGCTCGAACAAAACTGAAGTGCTAAAATAAGGGTGGAGTACCCTTCTCCAGTGCCTGCTGTTCTGTGAGCAGAAAGAATAGAGTTGCATTAGAAATTGATAATATGGTGAAGTCAGTAAAACATGGAACAACACTCTGATTACTGAAGCCATAGTTTCCTATCAACCATGCCCAGTAGTTGCCTAGTTGCCTTTAGTTGCCCAGTAGTAAGCAGTTAAAATAGCCAAGATAGGTTTTATGTACTTCAGGTTGCATGTTAATATATACTTTTCCATTGCTTTTGTATATATACCAAACAACTTTATTTAGAAAAATGCATACTTTTAACTGGGCTGTCAGTAAATAATAAAAAATTGATAATTTCCAGTCTCATGCTCTCTCCTTCTCAGAAGCTGATAGGTCATGGCCTCTTTGGGTGGTAATACAGCATTTTTTTTCTAAGACCTCCAAGACAGGTTTAAAGATATTAAGCTGGAAATGCTGGCAAACCAGTCAATAACAGCTTATAAAAATGAAAAAAAGATGCAAGTAATTCAGAAGATCTTAAATTTCTTATAACTTACTAACAGATGAGTCATGGTTTATAGGAAGACGTGTTTATATTAGACTCGTATATCTGAAAAAAAAAACCCCAAAACCCAGAACACACACACGTGCACAAGTCCGTTTCCTCTGAAAAAGGCAGTTTTCAAATCTGAAAGTTCGTGTGTGCCTGAAAGCTTGTCTGTTTTTTCCACTTCTGTCTGTTGGTCTAACAAGAGATACTGCCTCTCTACAAGTCTTGTCTGTCTTTGAGCACCACAGCTACAATAATGCTGTCACTGTTGTTATAAATGATGCTCTGAGGCAGCTAGTTTTCTTTTTGTTTCTCAGTGAGAATTGTCATGTCTAAAGACAGCATTGTCTGCCTGATCCAAATGATGTGATTGATTGCCAGTGTTATTTTTCAAAATGGAATGATAATTTCAGGTCAGTTATAATTTCTGTTGTTTAATTTTACAGTATTTAGAGCTGAGGACTCCAATACACACAGACACCTGACTGAGTTTGTTGGTCTGGATATTGAAATGGCTTTTAACTATCACTATCATGAAGTGGTAGATGAGATTGCAGATACCTTGGTGCAGATATTCAAGGGACTTCAGGAAAGGTAATGAGAGCATTTTCCATTTCATGAGGAACTTTCTTTGTTTGAGATATCTTGCACTGTGGTGTGAAATGGGTGAGCATTTTATCCTCAGCTTGTCAGATAATTATTAGTAATCTGATTTACACCAGAACTTCAAAACATTTTTACTTTGTTCCTAATGATTTCTTTGTGCCTGACTTTTAAAGTTCACTGAAGCCAGTGAACTGTCTATTTTTAGACGAAGTTGCATCTCCTAGAGTATGCTAGCTTGCAGCCTGACTTTTAAAGTTCACTGAAGCCAGTGAACTATTTTTAGACGAAGCTGCATCTCCTAGAGTATGCTAGCTTGCACTAAGAGAACTTGCTGTTTACTGTTGAATGGACTTCCTAATGGAAATTATTATCATTAATTTAAAACGCCCTACTTTTTGTGCCAGTACAGGTAGACTGATTGTTCTATTTTGAAATTAATCTTAATATTTACTGTCTAAGAAAGTTTTTCTGAATCATATTTATTATAACAGCCTGCATCTCTGCCATGAAAGCAGCAAAGATTGTTTTCCATTTTTCACAGTCTAACTCATTAGAAAGCCAGGCCAGAAGTTTAGGAAGTGGTTTTCATTTGCTTACGAATTAGACTATCTTGCCAGCAGAAATGCAAATCTTTTCATCTGTCTAGAAGAAAATTTCTCTTTCATATTTGAAACAGGATCTTACTTAAATCAAAGAAGAACCCAGGTAAATATTACAAATCAAAGGGATGATTTCTCAATGTCTTTACTGTGAAAATGTGACCTAGTCAATTATTCCTTACTAAAGGAATAAAACAGAAGTAATAGTAAAATATTAACATGTATATCATTGAAGTAGATGCGGTAACTTCCATGAAACATTTCATTAGGATTGTACAGAATTTCTCCAGAAGTGGCTTTAAAACAGGTTTTTATGTTGCAAGAGGGACCTCTTGTGGCAAAATTGTATTGCCATTGCAGAATCATTGTTGGATGCAAGAAGTGTACATTTTTTGATTGTTTTGTATTTTGCTTCTGTTCTTGTTTCCTTGCATATAGATTCCAAACTGAAATTCAGACAGTGAACAAACAGTTCCCATGTGAGCCATTTAAGTTTTTGGAGCCAACTCTGAGGCTGGAATATTGTGAAGCTGTGGCCATGCTTAGAGAGGCCGGTATTGAGATGGGTGATGAAGAAGATCTGAGGTACTTTGGCAGTACATAAATGTGTCAGTCTTGTCAAAGTGGTAGTAAAGTGTCAGTTTTGTACTGTGCAACTGACAGCCCTCAAGAAGGAACCACAAGCTTTTAGAGGAATAAACAGTACTGTATCCAGATCTCTTGACAAATAAATGAATGGATATGAAAATAGTCCTTTCTTTTAATGTAGACTAAACGTACAGACCCTGACATCCAAAAGAAAATAACTTACAACATAAAGTGAGAGTAACTTGAACCTTCTAAGGATAAGAAGCATTTGTTTTTCTAACAATTGCAGTTCTTCATGTGAATTGTCACACGTCTTTGAATAGGATTAAACAAGAAGATTCCTCAGTCTTAAAGTCTTTCTTTTCAGTAACACCTTCCCATTTTTTCTTTCCACCTCTCAGGAAAATGATTAAGCAATCATGATTGCGTTCCCATTGATTTACTGAAAGATGAGTTTAACTGATTATATATAACTTTTCTGAAGACACTTAATAAATTAAAACATTTCTGTCCTTTCCCACAATATATCCAGTACTATTAGGATAATGTGTGATTTTGCAGCTAAATGATCTGTGTATCAAAGAAATTTCAATTTAAGAGTTTGATAGAGCAAAATAATACGCTTATGCAGTTTTCCACTTACTGTGCCTAAGAAGAAATGGCTGCACAAGTTATATGCCAATAGGAAATAGAGTACACAATTCTTCAGTAATCAGAATATGGTGACTAGGAAGTATATTAAGAACAAGAATATCTTCAGGTATCAGTTAATTTAAGGGATTTCTAGGACCAGTACAAAATATTTAGGAACAGAAATAAATGTACTTTACTTCTGAAATTTCTGTCTGCACAATCCAAAACATTCAGAAACAAGTACTAGATTTTCTAAACAGCAGGGTGCAGCAGATCTGTAGCTTGAAATCTTTTTAGCTTTGTGAAGGTATATAATCAGTACAGGTTTAAATCACTGAATTTTAATGGTGATAATCTTTTTCAGCACACCTAATGAAAAGCTCCTGGGACGCCTGGTAAAGGAAAAGGTAACAATTATTTTGGAATAAATAGATTTGTCATTGAATCAGAAACTTGATTTCATGGAGTCACTGGGTTTGTATAAATGCCTACTTCATGTAAAACAACTTTTTACACGCTGATTGAGAATATAGTATCTCAGAACATGCAGAAGTCGTGAAGAGTTTGTGACTAGCATAAGCATTTTTTAAGTTGTCTGACTGTGTGCCTGCTTTGCTGCTGCTTATTTAACCTACTGACAGTTTTGTCTTTATCATTAATAAGCTGTTTCAAACCATTTTCAATCTTTTATATTTATTTCTATCACCTGTTACACTGAGTACACCAAACAGGATAGCGCGTTCCAAAACCAGTTCTTAAGATAATTACAAAAAAAACACCTGTTACACTGAGTACACCAAACAGGATAGCACGTTCCAAAGATAATTACAGTTCTTAAGATAATTACAAAATTCTTAAGATAATTACAAAAAAACCCCAAACCAGATTCCAACTAAATCTATAGGAGAAGAGGAGATCTTTGGCAAAAAAATAAATATGTATTACTACAGCAAGACATGTTACTGCTAAACTTTTGTAATTTTACATTAGAAGTAGAATTGGAAAACTGAAAATTTATACACCATTTTTATTGATAACTATTATTTTTTAAGATAATGTCAAATTTGTGGAAAGTTATTGGGAGATGGTTTTTTATTTTACTTGAAAGGTTCATTGTTTGTGCCTTCCTCCTGTAATTTGTTCTTTACATCATTTTCTCTTGTACTAACTTTTAAATTATCTTCTTTCAGTATGACACAGACTTCTATATTCTTGACAAATATCCGCTTGCTGTGAGGCCTTTTTATACAATGCCAGACCCAGTAAACCCTGTAAGTAAAATTCTTTGTTGTTGTCAGTAGGGTTTTTTTGTAGTTTAAATTACTCTGTGTAGGGATAACTTGACAAAATAGATAAAGTATGTTTATATGATCTGCTGTTATAATTAAAATTCTGATAACAAGATTAGGTCGGTGTTGCATGACTTCTAAAATGTTTTGCAGTTAGTCTTCTCTGGTGCAAATACACCAGAAACAATTTAGCTAAAACTGGGAGAGCTTTGTGAAGAGATCTCCATGGTCAGAGCACTGCTGCCATCACTGGAAAGAGGCAAAAACTGTCTTCCTGGGCAACAGACACTTTAACAGAAAATATGCTTTTTTACATTGTTAGAAATTCCGCAGTTTATTCCTAAATCCAGGGTCAGTATCTTTAGAGCATCTTTCGCTGGGATAACTACATGCAAGTGTAATGGTTTTTCAAAGGGCATGAACTTCAGTTTTTTAAACAAACTCTAGTCTAATGAGAGGAGCCAAAGGGCTGTAATTCCTGGGCAGACTCCAAATACATTGCATTCTTACTGCACAACTTTGGATATCATAAGTGAAGTTATTGAAAGGTGCACATTTGCCACCTAAGGATGGAGCAACTGTAGGTGGGAAATAAACTCATCTTTGTCTTTCCAGAAAAACTCTAACTCTTATGATATGTTCATGAGAGGGGAAGAGATTTTGTCCGGAGCTCAGAGAATTCACGATCCTCAGCTGCTGACAGAAAGAGCCCAGCATCATGGCATTGGTAACAAGTCAAACAGCGTGAAGCTGAATTTAAAAGAATATAAATCATGGTTGAATTTGTCTCCTTTACAGGAAGAACTTGGGGCAGAATTTGTTACATGGCAATAGGGCTACAATCACAGTGCTGTTTCGTGCTTAATGTTAATCCATCTAATTCTGTTTAACCGTTTCAATCTACAGTGGTGGTAATCTACAGTGCTGGTATTAAGAAACTGGTTAGGTTTCCAGCAATACCTTGATGAAAAGGAATTGTTTCCGAGGACCTTAGAGAGAATGTAATGCAGGAAATACCTTCGACAGAATGAGGATAGACAAACAAGTTTCATTCAGTCGTGCCTCTCTGTAATCTCACAAACTTCTTATGGATTACTCCAGCAGAGTCTTGTGGGGTTGGCTGTCAATAAGCAAGAAGTGTCCATTGGTGTCATTGTTTTAAAAAACTCAACAGGGACAAGGCTGGCTAACAGTGGAAGGGTAAAAGAGTAAATTAGGTCGAGATCAGGACAGTAAAATAGAGATGAAAATTATGCTTTCAGTGAATGGCAAAGTGAAGTGGCAGGTAGGCAGTAGCAAAAAAGGAGTAGCTCCCACTGTAGCAAGATGGAAAAGTAGCTGCTAAATCTTCACTTTCTCACTGCAGTTTATTCAAGAAGTCACCATTTTCCGTAAGTTACAATGGACAGTTTGGCCTAGCTCTTACTCAATTCTATAATTCCTTCCCTGATTAAGTTATTAACTTAACTATAAAACAAAACTGTTATAATTTCTAGATAGTCCTGGATAATTCATATGTTTAATGAGTAAAGCCCCACTGTTAGTCTGTAAGTTAAACTGGTAATTTTTTTGTTGTGTTTGCAGTCCTCTTGTATGTCACTTGTATGCTTGGCTTGGGGTTCATTAAGTAGGTGAGAAATGTATCTTTTTCCTCTCTAGATTTGGAGAAAATAAAGGCTTATATTGATTCCTTTCGTTTTGGTGCACCTCCACATGCGGGTGGTGGAATAGGTAAGTATCTGTATTTTATTTTATTCTGTGTTAGCCTGAGTTTAATTTAAACTACTCAGTCTCAAGCAGGGTTCAATATAAAATTCAGAATAGCAGCCTTGTTAGGTAAATGTGTGGGGCTGTTTATCCTGGAAAATTTAAGGAGAGAAGGTAAAATATAAGGATCATCATAAAATAAATAAGCAAAATATCAATGGTACAGTCTGGTGAGTTTAAAAAGCAGGTGGTCACAAGAAAAAATAGACGATTTAGTAGCCAGGCACATCACGTTCAAATTTGACCAATGAGGAAAATTTAAGGAAACAAGAAAATACTATATTATGTGTGGATTTATCATAGCCTACTAATACCAGAAGCCACCAGTCTCTTTAGTGCATTTGATGAAGCTGTTCTGCAGTAAGGAAAAATAAGCGATTGCTTCTGTCTTACTCAGTGATTTGACTGAATGCCACTGATCAATTTGGCTGATGCCAGTTGTTTCAGCAAAGGTACTGAGGCTTCGTGTCTTGAGTGTATTTTACATCTTAAAATAGAAAAAAAAAAGATGGGATTTGGGCATCTTAACAGTTTACAGTTATGCACATTGCTTTCATTAGCAGGATGAAATCTGTTCATGCATATGGAAATAGGACAGTTTGTAGGTCCTGATCAATAAACACAGTGATTTCTTTGATTCGGTCTTTCTGCATTTGCCTTACTTTTGTAAAGTGCATTTAGTACATTCTCAGCATGTTCTCAGGACAACTTCCTAAGTATGCCTTCCGTAAATGCATTGGATCTGTGATATGCTATTGAGACAGCTGTTGTGAAATACCTGCAAGATGTAACCATCAGTGATCGTGCAGTACTTGTGAGCAGAGATGTGCAGATGATCCAAACTCATTTAGACCTATCAGAACTGACATCAAGGAAGCTGAAGCTACCATGTCTTCTGCAAAGTAAATGTTCTTCATGGCACATCTCAGAGGTCAGGCCAAGTATCAGCCAAACAGGAGGTGCTGTGAGAATGAAAGCTGATTTCTGCCTGTTGGAGATGGAAACCTTAACATAGGAGGGCAGTCTGTGAAAACTAGTGTGCATCTGGGTTTCATCTCAGCATGGCTGGGGTACAGATACAGCCCCACAGATTAGGAAGTCCTTGCATGTTCCACAGTACACACATAACCTCTAAGATTTCAGGAAAAAAGAACACAATGACCAGTGAAATATTTATTATCAGATATCAGCAGATAGTTACACGGGCACATATTGCTGAATCTACATTTTTGTACTGTAGAGGGATTGGGATAAAATTCCTGAACTGTAGGTTTTTACTGTAGTTGCTTATGGCACTTAATGTCTCTTACTCTGAAACTGTTAAGGCTGCTTTGGACTATACTTCTGTTACTGTATGCAAGATACAGTTCTCCTGATGACCCACCTCCCATTTCAGTTTTCTACACCATCTTTCTTGAAAGTCCAAAGTGATTGGGAGCAGGGTTGAGTCTCTAGTACCACTGCTTATTGATACGTGTTCCAAAGGAAGTCTGTATCATGGCAGAAGGTCCTGTACATAAAATCCCTAATTTTTGGATGTGCAAAAGCATACATCTCAGTCTTTGGTCACACTGCTATGTGAAGCTGGCTGTAGGTATAAAGTACCTTTACTTTCTGAAGAGTCTCAAACAAAAGACTGACTATACTGATGGGTTGTTTTCATTTGTTGTAGGACTGGAAAGAGTAACCATGCTGTACCTAGGGCTGCATAATGTTCGTCAGACCTCCATGTTCCCACGGGATCCCAAACGACTGACACCCTAACATGAGTGGCTTTTGAAAGTTTGAGATGATTTGCCCTGCAAATATGATACGATTGCAAGCATATCCCCTGCTACTGATGAATCTGTATTGATTTGAGCATTATAATATGCAATAATAAAAAAAAGATCGTATTTACTAAAGTGCCACAATCATTTTTTTTATCCTTAGCTGTTTATTTAAAAGAAAATATTTTAACAGATCAAGACTCTTTGTATTGGCAACTGTGCACATTTTTAATGAAAATGTGATACTTTGAGTTAGTATTCTAGTGTCACATGAAATTGTATCATGTTTCTAAACATTTTAATAAATTACACAATAAAAATTCTGCATTTCTAACTTACATCAGCAAGATTGAATATTCTGAAGTAACAGAACTGGCTCGAAGCTAAAATAGCTGGATGCTTGCAATTTAAAAATCAGGAGGAAACCAGGCAATTGTTAATTTACATGAGTGTCAGGTAGAGAAGCAGGTCAGAAGAACATTCTTAACAAAAAGCCTTCATATGAAATTGTGAAAATAGATTGCAATAAATCTCTCAAAGTATACAATATCTGTCTTTCTGGTTTTTGCTTTGTTGATCGATAATCCTGAATCAATAATGGTTGGTTTGGTTTGGGTTTTTTTAATGATGCAATGACTGCCTAAAGTTTAAATTTATTTCCTTTCTATCTTCTTCCCCCCCCCCCCCCCTTTTTTTTTTTGAGAGAGAGAGTTACATACAATCCATAGGCCTGTTCTTCATCTTATGTTACTATTTGAGAATGGATAGGTTACACACACTCACTAAATACACAGGGGACATATAATATTCTTGGAAAATAAGTGGACCATGAGTTTGAGAGCAGTTCATGTGTTTTCCTGCTTGACCCAGCCTCCAGGAAAACAAATGAAACAAATCAGCAAGGATTTCATGTATCTGTTGCCAGTGAAAGAAAAGCAAATGGTAAAAGCCAACCTATTTCAGGGATTTTTTCATTTTTAAATGCTGTGAACAGCCCAACTGTTGTACATTTAGAGAAATTGTGTGTTTCTGTAAGTCAGAGTACTTCTAAAATTCTTTCTAGACATCCTTTTTCTCAAATGAATCACCTACTTGAACCTCCTCAATTTGCAGTCATGTGCAAAGCTACTTCTCTTCCTCCTCCTCCCAACCCAAAAAGATGTGCCCTGCATTTGGAGAGGAACCAGGGTATTTGAAACTTCCTTTTATGGACTGCATCTGGTAGTTGTTTTTAAAATGTACAACATTTTTTTAAGTGTGGATGCCAAAGAGCAAAGAATTAAATTCCTTACTTGGGCACTGCAATAGTGTTACTCTAATATTCATACATATTTGTAATTCCTGACTTAATTTTTGCTTAACATTTTACATGATAAATAGCTTTCAGTAGGAGGCATGGTTTAGACAGTCTGTGTTATTGTTGGTACCTTGATTTTTAAATGTCAGAGAAGTCACATATTGGTTATGCTACAAAAAGGTCAGTGAGGCTGTATATAAATTGTGTAGAATTTCACAAAAGGGCAAATCATCTTTTGCAGCTGCCATTGAACAAGACTTAATTTTAATGTTTTGTGACAAGAGTTCTCCATTATAAAACAATCATACGAAAGGTCAGTTAGGTAAAGTACTGGAAATGTTAAAGTTAAGTTAAACTTTGTTTAGAAGTCACGCAATTCAAGGAATAACACACTTTGCAGCTTTGCTTATGAGTCTGTTGTAATTCATTTACCATGGAGTCTTCCCCCAATTACTAACTTTAAAATCTTATGGTGTACCCAGTTGTACTTTACAAAGCTAAGTGGATTATAAACACAGTTTATCATCACAGACTTATTACTGATGAATCCAAGTTTCAAAACTGGTTTATTCAGCTAAGCCAACTGGAATGAATTTAATTACTTTTGTTCATATGGAACCAATGAGGTATTCTGCATTGGAAGTGCATCCTTCTAGTAAGGAGCAAAATTACTGACTTATATTTCATGCCAACAAAAAAAAATAAAAAATTATTCCAAGAACTAGGTTTCTTGCTCTAGATGTGGGAGCAAGTTTTGTGCTTACCCCAATTCTGTTAAGATTTGTTCAAGCTCATGTTGTAGTTTGATTTATTCACTGTAGCTGCACAAGAAGTTGGATGGAGATTCCCAATTCCTTTGTATGCAGAATCCTTTCATGCAGTTTTTCTTAGCTAACGGAAAATAATTATGATCATAAATCAAAATGCATTTGTCCTGAATGTAATCTTAACAAGATTCTAATGGGAGCTTCACATTGCTAGAACTTAGTTTGAAACCCTGTCAATAGTAATTTCAGAACTTTATGTTGCTTTGATAGGTAGCAACTCTGGTTTGGTAGTTCTGGAAAAGTCAAACTCGTGTAACTCCGTTATTTCCAGTAACTTGCAGGAAGTTTAGCATTTGACATGGAGTCCACATCACTGTTGCTTCTCCACCAGTTAAAGTGTTTTTGGTTTGGGTTTGGTTTTTTTTTTTCTTTCATGATATTGTTGTGGTTTAACCCAGCAGCAGCTGAACACCACACAGCCACTCACTCACTGCCTCCCTGTCAGTGGGATGGGGGAGAGAAGGGGGGGGGGGAAAGTAAAACCTGTGGGTTGAGATAAAGGCAGTTTAATAAAACAGCAGAGGAAAATAATACACAAAGCAAGTGATGCACAATGCAACTGCTCACCACCCGCTGACCGATGCCCAGCCCATCCCTGAGCAGCAACAAGTTATGAAAAACCAGCAGAGATTATCTAGGGTGAATTATTATTTCTTTTAAAATAAGACATGCACTTGTGCACATTTTTGCTAGTATGATCTCACAAAATACCAAATTTATTCCCTGCTAGTTTTTTTAAAGAGTTACCAAGTTATTTCTACTGTTTTCTTTGGATTTAAAAGACCATGTAAGCATAGGATAAATTGTAAACAGTTGGGTAGTTTTTCTTCTACTTTGCCACCTCTTTAGCCCTTAGCCATCTTTAAAAAGAACGACAAAAAAACCCAACCCTCAAAAAGTGCTAATTACGTACCAAAGCACAACAATCTGCATTAAAATAATACCAACTTTCCAGAAAGACTAACTCAGCCAGAACCTCTACTCTGAAGTAAGTGAACCGTGAATTGAGTCTTATTGCACCCAAAAAACCAAATTGCCAGGCAGCCTTTACCATTTTGCAATTAAGACGAGGCTCTGTTTGCGACACCGTGAGTGCACCATACCACAAAACAACACCCCTGCAGGGAGCTTGCACTAGAAAGCGCTCGCAGCACAAGCGAAAGGGTTTCAGAACTGAAGAAGTCAGCCCATAGCTGCCTTAATTACAGCAAAATTCCCAGTTTAGGCAGAGATTAATGACCTTGCAGGTGGCAGAGCAATTCGAAGCAATTTTTCATAGATACTGCAACAGTTCCTGCTGGCAGGCATCGCATGCCACCGGCTCCGCTCAGTCACAGCTGGCAGCCACGGCATCACTCAGCCAACGGTACCTTACACCATCCTCCCTGCAAACGCAGCCTTACAGACAAGGAGCCCAGCGCCCAAACTAAGGCCTGACCCTCACCCGGCTTAAGCTACACCCTATTCACCTGAGCCTAATCCTTCAGAAGCCGGAGGTGCAGCCTACCTAGCGGATCTTCTCGGCAGGAAGCTGCCTGAGATGCCTCCTGCGCACAGCGTAAGGGCTTCGATGGCTCTGTGCTTCCTCAAGAGCACCCCGGGCTACCAGTGGGTTTAACTCCAGTCACCGCAGCCGGTCTGCATTCCCGGGAAACCCGTGACCGGCAGAAGCGCACTGCAGCTAAAGGCCGTGCTGAAGCCCCCACAGCAGAGACCTACACGTTCCTCCACCCCGGGTTTAAGTCCTCCACAGGCATTTATCGTTGTGCTGACAACAAACAAACAAACCCACCCGACCCCGCTGCAGACAGAGAAAGCCAAGCACGAGGCTGGGGAGCGGGGCGCT